TTCCAAACCATCTCATAAGGCGTTTTGTTTTTGCGTGCGTTTTGCCTCACTGGCTTTATGAGTCCCTGTTATCTTCCCTGGTGATTTGAACAAGGACCTCAAACTCATTTCTTGATCCCTCAGATTTCTGTCAGTTTGTGGTTTCCTACCACGGGAACATCTGATACATTATGTGGTGACACATCACATCAAGTCCTGTGAAACACTCTCCAATAAGATTTTATCTGATATCTTCCATCCTCTTTAATCCGCCCTTAGTCAATGCATTTCTCACTCATCCATCCGTTCCACTCACAAACTTATAAAGAGACACACTGAAGCTTACAGGCGGTCTATTGTCCCTTATCTCGCCAGAATTCTAACAAACCATGAACTCGTTGCAGGAAATCTGCGCCAAACGCGCTAAACTAAATTCATCATAAGCATCCGGGTATGTCATTGGATTTTGGTATTACTGTCCTTTTCACGTCCGTTAATTGCTGTATTATACTGTTGTTGTTTCTGTTTTTCCACATTTTTGACACTATGTTCTTGTATTTACTGAATATCCATTTCTCGAGGCGTATAAATCCATTGCTTGATTTGATTTGTGCTTATCACAAAAATAGCATAACGCTTTTACGTGCATGGAATAACTATGGTCTTGTGAATTGGGTTTCGAAACCTACGTGTAAAAAGCCTATGGGATTTGGTAAGCGAAGACTTTGTAAGTTCTACACACAATAAAAATTTCAATTTCAAACAAATCATCCTATGCTGAGGCAGTGTAGAATATATTATGTGCACATGTGCTCAATCGCGATGTTTGCCAAATGAACGGTGAAATCTTCACGCGTCTCGAACATGGTTGAGGCGAGATACGGTTATGTGCGCATCCTGACGGGTTCTTTGTGCACCTTCCCAACAGCGATCTGTTTAGAGCTCGTTGATTTGCTGTAAGATCGTAAGCTCGAAATGATTTGGAATGGTACTGATGAGGTGCACATGTGATCGCCAAGTCATCAAGGTTCCCGTAAAAGTCCCATCTAAACATTGCCTCTGCGGGAGACGCACCGTTGCGTAACAGAGAAAAGCTGATCGATAGAATCTTTCATGGTACTCTATCTACGTCAAACTCTAATGATTGTTAATCCCGACATGAATACTTCGTTGTCACCGTTAACATTAAATGTTTTCACGGCCTCACCGGAAGAAATATTGCAAAGTGGTTGCCAGCGGAATGAATGATCTTCCATGAGCCGGTTGAATAAAAGCGAGTTGAAAGTAAACAACAACTATATTATTGCCTAGCGGGATTGCGGCACCAAGTTATCTGGAGTGCGAAAGTCACGTGCAACCAGTGAGCAGATGTGATGCACACATAGCTGACAATGAAAGCGTTGAACTGCTTTTTTAACATCTAGTTCGTCGAACATACGTGTTGCACGCATAGCTTGTTGTTACATTCACCAATCACACAAGCTTAACCAATGCCTTTTGCCAGCACGGAATGCAGACCGGGTTCGCTTCACAAATCAACGATTGATAAGAACTATTACATGCTGAACCGAATGGACTGACATGAATTAACGTTTAGGTAGCAACAGGTGGAAGGATTAGAAATGGCACTGCCATTTTTGATGTATAATCAAAAGTGAGCACTTCAGCACCACTTTTGGGGTTGATATTATTCGCTCATCCGTGAGCAATTTGTGAGAATTGGGATACCCCCTTCGCTTTGGTTTGTAAAGTACGATTCCCATTCACACCTGATAAGTCTGCATTTAATTGAAATTTCGCTTCGGGTTGAAAGCCGTCTAGCGATATTTGCACCTGTAGAACATCTGTGCAGGTTATTGTGTGGTTAAAGAACCATATATGGAACTCGATAGTGAATGAGACTGTTGTTTTAAATGGTCTTTCTGGTCATTTCAATCCTGTTTCTATTCAACGTGGTGGCCGGAAATTTTTGTGCAGAAATACATTTTGCTTCAGTGTATTCTGGTTTATTGTTATCCATTCGTGGTCAAATCCCAAATCATTTATTTGATATACACACAAGTCCTCGTTGACATACAATGTAATTGTGTTCTTTGCTGGTCTCACCCCACGTAAAATGCAGCTTGATCTCAGTTGTCAGACATACCGGATGTGAGTATTGTCATTCATTCTAATTATGTCGTTTGAGCAATATTTTTAAAGCATCGTAATTTGGCAATGAATTAAACACGTTGTAGTGAATGATAGAAACCTAAATTTTGTAAACGATATTATTTCTAAGGAATAATGATCCTTTCCCTACTATGGATTTGAAAACACCGTTTTTCCGTCAGAAATTTGAGCGGAGGATTTTGCAAAGTGTATCCGTGATCATTTCGCTGCATCTGTACACGTGCATACTGAAATCAAGTGATTTTTCATAGTCAGCGAGATGATAGATGTGAGACGAATACAAGATTGCTGATCACAACGAACATGACCGAAATAGGGGATGAGAGAGGGTAGCGGGTGAATCACCAGGGCAAAGCTAATGTTTGCATAGATCGGGTTTGAGAGAGTATGAATGGTTAAGGCCTCGGCAAATCTCAGTTACTTACTGTTTGCTATGTTGTAGATGACCTCGAATGCATGGAGTGGAGTGACACAATGCTTTCGTTCGAATAAGTGTTGCGTTGTTGAAAATATAAGCCTTTTCTGATCATTCGATGACGTAACAGTTGCAAACTTGTCGTCCACTGCTTTCTTAAGCCATACCGGGATGTGTTCGACCATTCGGTGACGTAACTGCCTTTCTGTTCTGCTTATGTAGATAACCGAGCATCCGCACTTGAATTGGTCAATACAATTTGATTTGGTGGAGGGGGAAATGGTTCTTTCACCGATTTCGTTGGTATCCGGGTGATATTGAAGACAATGACCGGGTCAACTGCGTAATAGACCCGCTTGACGGCACAGTTCAACCGCTTACTAACGAGTTCGCCCCCTTCATCGCCTTTCTATACTGACTTCAACAAAGTATTCCATTTGGGGACAGTTATTGGGTTGTCTACTTTTGGTGTCACTTTACCAGCCTTGGCGATGAATGCTCCTGGATATCCGTTTGCTTGTAGTGCTTCGTATAAGATATCGCGTTCATCGCTTAAACAGTCCTCTGTGCATGTTTCACGACCTCGAATAAATAGTGCGCTCGAGACCAATGTTCTTTCGCATGGGAGCGAAGTTCGTGAAATGCCAGTTTTCCCCAGACCACGTGTTCTTTCGGAAGACAGAGATTTTAATTGATCCACCTGGACCACGAGTAATATTTATGTCTGAAAGCTCGATGCGGTCATCCCGTTGGTCGTGGCAAGTAAGCTGGATGTTGAGATGAATTCTGTTGAGCCGATGAAATACGCTCTCTCCGTCTTCGTCGATGTTGCTCATGACGAAGATGTCATCAACATAGTGACAGTATAGATCTAGTTTTGAGATGCCCTCTTCAAGCCTTTTTTCTAGGTGACCAAGAAAAATGTCCGCAAGAATCGGTCCCAGTGGACTGTCCATGGCGACCACATCTATCTGTCGATATCCTTGTCCGAGGAACGAGAACTCAACGTTTGCCGTGCAAAGGAGTAGAAGCCGCGATAGTTCACTGTTAGGCAATCCTATTTGCCGAATTTTATCCTCAATTACCTGACAAATAATCCCGATGGTCTCATGTAGCGGAACGTTTGTGAATAGCGAGTTGACATTCATTATAAACATCTATCTTTGTTGAATATTTCTATGGGTCAAATGTTCACACATCTCAAAGCTATCTTTGACGTTACGTAGAGCAATTGACTCTCTCAGCGGTACGAGAACTTTAGCCAACCACATTGCCAATGCATGTTGCGATGAATTGATCATGCTTACATGGGTCGTAATGGAACGCCTTCCTTATGCACCTTCGGTAAGCCATACAATTGTGTTGTCTGTGTTCTCCTTTGACGTAAACATTTCGCCAGTAATTCTTGTATACGGTTTGTCTGAGTAAGAGTTTTCAGTTCCGCACAAATTTTCTTCTCGAGTTTAATTGGATCGTCTGGTGTATTGTTAAGCTTACACTTCGATTGGTCCTGTAAGATATGCATCATCTTTTCTTTGTATTGTGACTTATCCATCACTACTGCACCGGAACCCTTGTCGGGGCGCAGCACAACGATATTCCAATTCGATTTTAGTTGTTTTAGTCCTCCGATGTGTGCATCGGTCAGTAAGGAGGTCATCTGACTGTTAGAAGTCAGATTAGCGGCTCCGGCTGCACAATTGTAAAATCCTCGCCGTGAAACACGCATTGGTACCTGTTTTTAGTCATCGGGCCAATAATGCTTTACCTTCCCGGAAACCGGTATCCTATAAGGATTGTAATTGTACGATTCAAGTGTCATTCAGTAAACGTCAGAGGTATCACTGTCTACGCGCAGAGTCTCCCATCGGAAAACAGTGTTAAACATGAGTTCTCTTGCAGCCTTCAATGGCTGGTTTATGAAGAACCCAAACGGGATGTATTTACGTTGGCAGAGGACTGGAACACTCAAACTAGCTCAGCATAACGAATCACGAAGCCCATGCTAGGAGAGTTTGGCCTGAACCAGCGTTGCGAGAATGGTGACAGACTGCTCAGCTTTGCCGATTATGGTCGAGTGTTCATTATCAACGCGCGGTTTCAACATCCGAGAAGGCATCTTCTGACGTCATAGAAAGATGTTGTTGATTTTCACAAAGTGGCATGCAATTAACGCTGAACAAGTGCTAATTATTCCCATCGGTAGTTTGTTCGACGAACTAAGAGAAACGGGTTGTACGCTAATTTTTTTCAGCAACCGAACCAGTGATCAAGTAGGGTGAGGATTTCTGTGCTTACTGCTTTCGAATCGCAGTCGAACCTGATCGAGGTCTTAGTTTTCGTTGAATGTAGACTTGTTCGTGGCCAAATCGGTTTGATACCAGTGATGACACTTTGACTTGTTTGATCCTTTCGTTTTATATTTTCACATGAGTAGCTGAATTACTTTGTAGAAAAATACTCTGATACCTTGCGGATTTTCATTCATATTTTTCTTCCGGATTATTGACAAATGCAGAGTTTATCGAATCTCATAGGATCTATACAAACTGGGTTCAGATGGAAGTATGAATTTTGGATTGTTAAAATAGTCTCGTTTCCCACCTGGTGTTAGAAATACAAATGTTTCAGTGCTTGTACCGAGCCGGAATATGCATGAAAAGCGATTAGAGCACACATATCAATATGTTATCACACCTCGCAACTGGATCCTCTGACGCTTGCTTCGATGAACTGCTTGAATCGATAAATGTGTGATGAATCGATAAACACAACGCTGTGGTACATAGCCTTTGCTATTTATATCGCTGTTTTTCCTTCTGCTAGCCGAAATTAGGACGAAAAATCAATACTGTCAATTAAGAGTTCATATACCTGAACAGAGAAGTCAGAAACAT